ATTTCCCAAAAGCCACCCATTAGTCTGAGAAATGCTCGAGTTACATTATGTATATACAATTTAAATTTTTATTAGAGACCAAACCAAGCATCAGAAAATTCGGAAAGTCACGGCAGGACCTTTGGACGACGTTGCAATTGGAACGTACATCTCTGGATTTCTTCGGATTTTTCAGAAAAGTTTGATTTCGGCGAGAAACGAAGAAACTGACCATTTTACCCCTAAGGATTAACAAAGGGCATGTTTTATGGGCAAAGGGCATTTTGGTAATTTTGCCCTAAAAGTTGGAAAATACAATTTTGCCCTTGGACTTTTTGAGAAATTACAAGATTGCCCTTGGATATTTTTGGCAAGATTCGATCTGGGCCGTCGGTTTCAAGATTAGATCGAATCTGGACCGTTGGATCAAAAAGATTAGACAAGGGCATTTTGGTCATTTGCCATTTTAGTCTAAAATGTATTATTTAAGTCCACAAGACCCATTTCTCTCTCCTCTCTTCTTCCTCTCCCCTGTGAAACCCCACCGTGAGCAGCCCCCCCTTTCGATCTCTCTCTCTCCCTCCGCCAGGTCGCCGCTGCGCCATCACTGCCGCCGGTCACGCCCGCTGGATCGCCGCCGCCACCGCCGAGCCTCACGCTCCCCATCCCGCCATCCGTCTCTCTCTCCCTCTCGGTTTCCCCTTGGTCGTGAGCCAACCGGCCACCGCCCAAGCCACCGCCGTCCGCCCCAAGCCGATTGCCGCCGCCGGGAGCCGTTCTTCGTCGCCGCCGTTCCCTATTGAGCACTGCCGCTTTCCGTTCTAGCCGCGATAGTCTAGAACGCGGGTAAGTCGCGCTCTAAACCCGACCTAGGGTATTGGGAATTGACGGGTGATTTTTGGGTGGAATCGGGTTTAAATTTATGTGTGAAATGGTGAGATTTAGAAGTGGAATTATGTGGCAGACCTTAGGTTTTGATTCAGGAAATTTTGGTGGATTATTTGACATAGACAGTGGGCTGTGGATGACTGTTCACGGGACTGTGATGGGCCAATCGGGACGCGAGTTGGACTTTTAGAACCGGTATTTAATGGCGAGAAAGTCTCGTGAAGGACCGGAATCGATTTGACGCCATTTGGTCGGAGAAAAATGACGAATTGTGCATGTATGGCGTGTTGGTACTATGACTGAATTCTTGTGATGAATTGAGTGCATGGTTGTGTAATTGTCTGACTGAAATATGCTTGTTGGGTGCACGCGTGGGCCAGATTATTTTAATTACTATTATTGGCTGTGTTGACTGCTGGGTGAGCATGGTTTGTGTATAATTGATGCGTGCACGGGCCATGTGTGATTGGCCAGTTGTGTGTGGTAAATGCTTATTGAGCATGTGCCTAAGTGAGAAGGAAATGTGGCGTGATATGTATTCGTGGAAATTGTGCCGTCCTGAGGCGTGTAGGTTTACGCGGGACGATGCCCGGTATTACCGGAAGATTGCTAGCCTGAGGCGTGTACTTCAACGCGGGTTACGCAATAGGTGGCAGGTGTTGAGCCTGAGGCGTGTACGTTTACGCGGGCAAGAAATATGACCTGAGGCATGTACGTTTACGCGGGCCCGGAAGTGATGTGAAAAGAAGTCGCAGTGTACCTAAGGCGTGTACGTGTACGCGGGTCACTGGCGAAGAATGTGGATGAGGGATGATGAGAACGGAATGAATGTATGGCATGAGAATTGTGCATACTTGTGATTGTGCTGATGTGCCTGCTATGTGATAATGGTATGTGTGCAATTGTGTTTGTGAAATTGTCTGGAGGTACGTGATAGCCTAGGTGGGGTTTAGGGGTGAACTTGCTGAGAGGTGTTCTCATGGTTGTTTTAACCAATATTTTCAGAACCCCGACCTGAGCCATGAACCCACCGCCACGGCCACCAGAACGTTTTGGAGTACCTGTGCACACCGAGCTAGAAGTCTTAGAGTTTCTTATGGGAGATGGTATGACCTGGATTAAGCACACTACTACCGTTTTCGTAGACGTAGGTTTACCCCTTTGGGAGGAGCAGAAGTACACTGCCTGGTTCTTCCGGGATGCTGACGGGGCTGAGTTCGGGCCCGTTAGAGGATTCGATGTTCCTTTTGATCTTGTTAGGGATTGGGACCCGATTGCCATACTCCCGATTGATGGAGAGTTGACTAGTACGGAGGTTAGTGTAGCGCAGTCTGGGATGCATCCAGCACCCGCCACTCAGGGATCTTCTGAGGCTGAGTATGAGCCCGAGCCCGAAGCATCACAAGCTGAGGATGACCCGATGGACATAGATTTAGAACCAATCCCCGAGGAGGAACCAGAGGAAGAGGAACCAGATGAGGAGGAACCAGAAGAGGTGGAGCCCGAGGTAGAGCCTGAGGGCGAGCCTGAGGAGTCGGATGAGCCGGCAGGAGACCCGGAGTATATACTCCTGTTTGAGGAATATATGGACTCCAATTTCGTGCTAGAATATAATTTCTTCGATTTCCTAACCAAGGAGTACCAGAACGCCGTTCCAGCTAAGTCGGGTGACATTGATCATCCGATTGTGATTGAGGCAGAGTTGGAGTCTTCGGATGAGCCATCGGATCAGGGGGGTTTAGACTCCGGTGATGATGAGTTAGACTCAGAATGGACGCCTAGCAAGGGGCGTAAGGGTTAGTACAGGGGTTCCTAGTAGGTTTTTGGAAAGTAACATTTTTGGCGATAGAAAGCCAGGTCATCGATCTTTTTGGTATATCGATGGTTTGTAATGCGGTGTGCAAGTGTAGGCGATGGTTGTAGATTGTAGCGGTTATAAGTTGTGAATATTTTATAAGTGGGTAATGAAAAGAAATATGTGCATTCTCCCTGAATATTCTCCCCAGTTTAATTGTCCGGGTTAATTGTGATTTCCGTTGTGAATTTAAATCTCTGATGTTTATAATTGAGGTCGGCGATAATTCCTGGGTTGTCGCATAAATCGACTAGAGGTGGATGTTGTGGGCTCGCTAGGGTTCGGGGCGTGACACTTGGGAATAAAGCCAGACCACTATAAATTGATGTGTGATCTATCTTTATTGCCCACTATCATCACACACGTTGTTTAACATTGTATATTATCTTGCTTGCTAATTGTTGTGATATATTTCGCAAAAGTTTTATAATATCTTTATCCAACCTATTCAACCCCCTCCCCCTTCTGGGTTGTATTTTTAGTCTCAACACCAAGATCGACCTTCGTTCTAGGTATCATCAGTTGAAGATAAAGTCAGAGGACGTACCTAAAATTGCTTTCAGAACAAGGTATGACCATCTCGTCATGCCTTTTGGATTAACGAATACGCCAGCTACTTTCATGGATATAATGAATAGGATATCCAATGAGTATCTAGATAGGTTTATCGTAGTGTTCATCAATGATGTTTTGGTGTATGCGAGGAATTTGGAGGAACAAGAACAACATTTGAGGTTTGTTCCGTAGATTTTGCGTGAAAAGTTGTATAATAAATTTAGTAAATGTGATTTTTAACTTGATAATATAGAGTTTGTGAGCCATGTAATCTCGAAGTATGCAATTTCAATAGACCCAAAGAAAGTTGAAGGAGTTGTTCAGTAAAATCGCCCTACTAATATTATGGAAGTGAGAAGTTTTCCCGAGTTAGCGAGTTATCGAAGGTGATATGTGGAGGGATTCTTGAAAATTGCCATTCCACTTACTCGTCTAACTCTGAAGGGAAGTAAATTTGTGTGATCATATCAATGTGAGCTTATAGTTTCTAAGAGTTAAAGAAGTAGTTAGTGTCAGCTCCTATGTTGACCTTGCCTTCAGGAATTGGTGGCTTCACATTTTACTGTGATTCATCTAAAGAAAGTTTAGATTGTGTACTTATGCGAGATGATAATATTGTGGCCTATGTCTCTAGACAATTAAAATCACTTGAGAAGAACTACCCCATTCATGATCTAGAGTAAGCAGCAATTGTGTTTGCTTTGAAAATTTGGTAGCACTACTTGTATAGTGAAAAATATGAAGTCTTTATAAATCACAAAAGTCTGAAGTATATTTTTACACGGAAAGAACTGAACATAAGGCAGAGGAGATGGTTAGAATTTATGAAAGATTATGACCTATTTATCAATTACCATCCTGGTAAAGGCAAATGTAGTACATATGCCTTAAGTTGTAAGTCTTCTAGAAATATGGCAACATTATTCACTTCTCAGAAGCCTATTCTTGAGTATATGAGAATGTTGGACTTGGAGGTATTGATACATCAGCTTGGTGTTCAATTAGCTCATTCCAAGTACAACCGAAATAGATTGATAGAATCAAATCTAAAAAAAATTAAGATCCTCAATTACTGAGAAGGTGAGGAAGTTAGGGGACAAGCAAATTTCAGTATTCACGTAGACGGGTCTTTGAGGTTTTGTGGTCGGTTATGTGTTCCTAATGATTCAGAGTTGAAAAGGGAAATATTGTAGGAAGCACACATCACCATATCTCAATTCATTCGTGGAGCACTAAAATGTACATGGATTTGAGAGGAAACTTATCGTGGATCAACATGAAGAGAGATAATATAAAATTTGTCAAACAGTGTCTTGTTGTCAGCAAGGGAAAATTGAGCATAAAAAACCAGGTGTATAGTTGCACCCCTTTGAAATACCCAAATGAAAGTGGAAGTATATCACCATGGACTTCATCGTCGGTCTATTGAGGACACCAAGTGGTAAGAATGTTATATGGGTGATTATTGAACAATTAACTGAGTTTACACACTTTTTGTCATATCGATTTGGCCTTTCATTGAAAGACATGGCAAAGCGATATGTCAATGAAATAGTGAAGCCTCGTGAGGTTCTAGTGAGCATTGTTTCTGACAAAGATCCCAGATTTGTGTTCAATTTGCATTTACTCCCGAACTCGTAATTCATGATACAGAGGACATTAAAGGACATTACAAAGTTTATTCAGCAAGAAAAGAAACCCCTTCAAAAGTACATTCCTAATATCAAACTTGAAGCTTCTTCTTGGACATGGAATCGCGTTTCATGCTAACCTTCCACTTGTGCCAAGGAGTTCTGCAATAAGCTTTCAGATCCTGCCGAACACTGCAGAAACCAATGTTCCTCTTCCAAACCCCACTCTCCTTTCCAAAACTGTTGAAAAGATTTGCCAATGTCTCATCATTTCCCAACCAGTTCTCAATATTGATTATCCCTTTCTGGATCAGCAGCTTCGCATCGGCTCTAGTGTTGATGAGATTCCCCAAGAATGCTATGTAATCTATGAAGTAACTATCATCCCTGTAATATGACTGCTCAAAAGCCATGATATTCCTGAGAAAAGACTCGGTCCAAGGAAATAGCTTGAAACATGGGATTTCAAGAACACCCTTTGAGAATTTGATGTCAAATAGGCAGTGGCTCTTGCTCATCCTGAACTTCACTCCGGCTGCTTGAAGCAGCGATGCCCTAGGTATTGCTTCGATCTTCTTTCTTCCATCGTGTAGTGCCTTACGCGTGGTGGGTAAGTACGAAGATCTTAAAGCATCCAATAAATGCTTGACATTGGAGTCGAATATCCTCTCCGGTTCTGCTTTGGGATTCGCTCAGAAGCCAAAAAAATCGTAGGCGAGCACCAATAAAGATGGGAATTCTCCCAATTGAGTACCCAATGCGAAATTGAATAGATTTTCTAGAACAAAAAATGGAACTTGATTCTCCATCTAACTCATGCCTCTTCTCAAGTCGGTGAGCATCCACTGTTTTTGCTTGTCGAAGATGATATCATTCTCGGCCCTCCTTTTCGGGAAACGATTCAACAAGAACAGCTCAATGATGAATACACCATCTACAAGAACCATTGTGACGAACTCAATACTGCTGGGATCAATGTTCTCCAAGTAACACTGGCGAGTACGTTTGTGATATCCTGAAAATTTGACTCAATTTGGTGATTTATGAAATGGTGATTTCATCAACGTTCTATTAGTTAATTCTTACCCTGACTTGATCACTTAGGGAATACTAACCAAAGAGGAAAGGCTATCGAAGAATTTACTTCCAACAGCCGCCCGTTAGTTCGAGATGAACTATAGATGTGATTGATCGATCGATTTTGGCCACGAATTATGATCTGATTTTGAGTGTCGAATACTCAAGGATTTCACACGCGAACCATAGGACGTCGCCTCATAATTTTTACGAATTGGCCATCGAAAATTCCAATTTCGAAAAATGATTGATAAATCGGAAATTCAACGCTAGAAATGGAAGTGAACTGAGCAAAGCCCGTTGGGCCTCGTGTCCGAGGGGGCCGACCACCAAGGCCCGATAAGTATGAGTCAGCCCATAATTTGATGCTCGGGCCGAAGATAAAATAGTAATTTGGGGGACAAATTTAAGAAAAATTTCCAAAGAAATTGTTGGAAGATTTTTTTTGGGTAATGATTAAACCCTTCTCTCTCTCTCTTACCTTTTTCCCTTGGCTGACCCCCCACCGAACCCACCCACTCCCCATCATTTCCCCCTCTCTTTCTTCTTCTTTTCTTCTCCTTCTTCGTTGGTTTTGCTTCTTCACTGCTGCCGCTTCTGCTGGTTCTGCTTCTGCTCCTCTGCTGCTGCTGCTTCTGCTTCTGCTTTGCTGCTGCTGCTTCTTGTTCTGCTTCCTTCGGCTTCTTCATTTCCAGCCGCCGGACTAGTCCATTTCTCGTCAGAAACGGCCCCGCCGGTTAAGCCGCTTGTTTGCTGCCATCCCAGCCACCAAGACGCCACCACCAACCACCATTTCGTCCCCGGTTCAGCCCTCAAGCAGCGCCGAACAGCCGCTCACAGCCAGCTGGTTTCTACTGGAACGCCAACTTCGATGCCCGTCGTCCGTCCCCGCCTTTGCAGCTGCTGGTCCGCTGCTGTCCAGCCACCTAGCCGACACCACCAGACACCATTTCACGCTCAGAACAGCCCCAAGCAGCCCTGACCAGCCACCACAGCAGCCGCTCCTTCGCCGTGCCCGGATCGCCGCCGTTCATCGCTCGTAAAGCAAAACCGGAGCCGCCACAAGCGAGCTCGCTTCGTCGCCGTCATTCTCGTGTTAACGCCATCATTAAACGAGTAAGTTAACCCTCATCCCTCGTTTAGGGTGTTAAACTTGCTTAGGGTAGTTTAGTTTAAGTTTAAGCTAAGTTTATGGCTAGTTAAGTGGGATTAAAGTTATCGTTAGATTATTAGATAATTGTTGGTGATAAGTTATCGGCGGATAATAAGTTATCATTGGATGTGGTGATAGGTTATCAGTATTTAATTGATAAGTTATCGGTAAATTTTAACGATAGGTTATCGGTATATTCGATAAGTTATGATTGTTTGTGTGATAAGCTATTGTTGTGTTCGCGATAAGTTATCGCTATTTTTACGATAAGTTATCTATTATTTTATCATTACTATTTATTTTATTAAATTAATTAATTTTTGGAATTAAATAATAATATTTTATTCAAAAAATGTATTTATTAATAAAATATTTGATTTTCGATAATTAAATATTAATATTTTTGAATGATTTTTAATATCGAATTGTGATTGTTTTATGTATAAATTGTGATGCTAATGTTCGATTTCGCTGTATAAGTTGGCGTATGTGGCAAATGATTTGAATGATTATGATTCGAGAAAATATTTTGAATCTTTGAAAATAAATTATGTTAGGATTTAAATATTAATATATTATTATTAAATAATTAAATTTTCGAATTTATTTATTATTATTTCGGAAAATTTTTAATCTGAAATTATAATTTCTACGCTTGAATGGTGGCGATTATGCCGTGAATCGTCGTATTAATTTGATTATATGACAAATTGTTTTGAATGGAAGTTTTCAAGGAAAACTTATGAGATTTTTAGAATTAAACTATTTTATTGCTAGGCCAAGAAATGATAGTGATGCTTTGTGATTGATAAACATGTTTGGCATCGAAGCTTGCAAGAATTGATAGACTGTTTGCACGAGTGACCACTTGGTTTGTTATGCGGTATTATATGAGCACTATTCATGGATGCATGAGCTAATTGAAAAGATAATAATTGACCGAAATGCTTGTGTGCTCGTGTGGTCACACGTCGAAGCCTTCTTGCTGTAGATCACTTGACGATGCCCGATTTATCGAGGTCTGCTGCAGATTGTGCTCGATTTTATCGGATGCCTGGAGATTATCTAGATAGCCGATACTCCGGATGCCGAATCGCGGCTCGATGGCGGATTCGATGCTCCTTAAGGGATACCATCTTACTGTATATCGTTTGATATTGCCGTATTGGAATGCCGTCTTACTATAGATCATTTGACGTAGCCATGCCCAACGGGGCGGGACGGAGCCCGGTCATGCCGGAAGACTGCCATCTTGCTGCGGATCACTTGATGTGTAGTGGCCCCGAGGGGGCGTAATAACTGGAATACGTATGATGCATAGTGCCTGATTATGTGATAGAAACTGCTAGGCATGGTATGGGACGTGCCCAAGTGGATTCTATCTTATAATCGAGACACGCATGCTGTGATGCATTGATGCATGGGAAATCTCTTTAAATGCTTTGAGTATGTGACATGTTCATTTCATCAACGAATGTACCAAGGCAAGGTAAGGATGCCTGTGGTTGTTTAATGATTTTGCTATTGATGCTGTATTGCCTGATTAGGGACCCCCAAGGCGAGTTGGCCTCCTAAGCGGGGCTTAGGCCATTAACTTACTGAGATTTTATCTCATTTGTTGCTGTTAAACCTTTTCAGGACCTTAGCATGTCGTTACTCCCTATGCGGTTTGGAGTACAGCAGATTTTGGTTGGTTTTTGAGGGTTAGGCTTGGAAGCTGATCTTTTAGACGGAATAGATTAACCCTAGCCTTTATCTTTTGCTGGCTTTTTGAGGAAACGGCTGAAGTGGGCTTGTAAGGATGTTCCCAGGGTTAATCGATTATATATGAAAAAAAATGGCTTTTGTTATGACTGGTTTTCCTCTGCTATCTCTGATTTGATTATTGTTTGGGGTTCGTTGTGTTGGTTATCGTTTTCGCTTGCGTAATTCAAAAATAAAAAGAAAAGGGTTAGTGACGAGTCCTGGGTCGTCACATCATGATGACCACATCGGGATGTTGCTTATTTGTAGGGTTCGGGGCGTGACATCCCCGTTGAATTGGTATCAGAGCAAGGTCAGCTCGATCCAAGTTTGGTCGAGACCTAGAGTGATAAAGTGCGATGGGTTTTGGGATAGTGAGTTAGGAAAACACTTTGTGCCTATGTTTGATTGTTAGCTTTCTCGTTTGTAAGCGGGTTGGTCAGGAATTCTAATTCCTTATTGGAATTGGAAAGCAGGTTTCTGTAACAATCCTACAAGATGAGCGATCTTGAGCAGAAAGCCCCTCGGAGAAGGGTATCGTTGAGGCAGATTAGTGCTAGAGAGAGAGCACCCGAGGATCCTAGGTTGGACCGGATCCTGCAAGCTTTGGAGACCTTGGTCGGGCAGCAGGCTCAGAATCAAGCCGCTGCTGATGCTGTCCCTGTTGATATTCCATTGGCTGGAAATGGAAATGGGAATCCACCCATGCACAAGTTAGTGGATCAATTTTTGAAGCTCAAGCCGCCCAAGTTCACTGGTACGGGTGATCTTGAGGCTACAACCCTCTGGATCGGGGAGTTGGAAAAGGCTTTTGCCTTACTGAGATGTTCGGACGAAGATAAGGTGACACTGGCAGTCTATCAGTTGCAAGGTAATGCCAGCACATGGTGGGAAGCTTTCTATAATAAGTATTTCTTAGACTACGCTGGGAAACAGAAGATGAACGAGTTTGAGCGTCTCCGGCAGAACCAATTGTCGGTAGACCAGTACGAGGCTAAGTTTGTTGAATTGTCCAAATATGCGTTGAGATTGGTTGAAGATCCAGTTGATAAGACAATGAGATTTGGGAATGGGCTGAAGCCCGAGATTAAGGATCAATTGGTGCCCCTGAGTATGAAGGATTATGATGAGCTGTATGAGAGGGCATAGCTGATTGAGAGAAACTTGGCGAAGAGGATAGCCGCGTCTGGATCGCGGTATGTGCCAAATAAGGATAACCACCAGTTTGGGAAGAAACCGATGACAGGAAGTAGATTTTCTGTCCCTCCCAACAGGAAAGGTGGCGTGAAGAAGCCGGCACCCAATCAAAACGGTACGTGCCGCTTTTGCCGTAGGAGCCATGGATCAGCCGGTGCCCAACAACAACAATGGCGCCTATCGCTTATGTGGAAGGGGCCATGGATCAGTCTCGTGTCCTGCTAGGACAGGTGCTTTCTTTAGTTGCGGCCAGCATAGCCATGATATCAGAGATTGTCCACGCCAGGCAGCGGGAGTGCAAAGACCAATGCAGCAAGTAGGACAACCTGCAAGAAATGCCTCGCCAAACCAGTTGAACCGACCCCAAGTGCAAGGACGGGTGTATGCTGTCACCAGAAAGGAGGCAGAGGACTCGCCTGCCGTCATTACAGGTGCGGTCTCGTTACACGACCATGCTGCATATGCTTTGTTTGATCCTGGAGCCACACATTCCTTTGTGGCCATGCAGTTTGTGGAATTAGTGGGGTTAAATTTGGAACCGTTGGGAGTGGTTTATAGCATTTCTGCCCCTCTAAAGGATAGCGTAGTATCGATATTAGGATGTGTTGGCTGCAAGTTATCTGTTGATGGTCGTGACAACAGCATAGATTTGATTGTTTTAACGATGTTTGAATTTGACGTAATTATTGGAATGGATTGGCTCACCAAGCAACGAGCCACTGTAAATTGTTATCGTAAGACGATACAGTTTGAGCCAATAGGGAGTGTTGGTTTTGAGTGTGTCGAGAATCGAGGAGGACCTTCGATCCCTTTGATCTCGTCACTCGAGGCGACTCGGTTATTGGATGTGGGTTGCCAAGGTTATTTGGCAACTGTAGTGGATACGTCAGTAAAGGAGCTGAGAATGGAAAATATCGCTGTAGTACAAGAGTTTTCGGACGTCTTCCCTGAGGAATTGCCTGGGTTGCCCCCAGAAAGAGAAATAGAATTTGTGATTGAGTTAGCCCCTGGAACGGAACCGATTTCTAAGGCACCTTACAGAATGGCATTGTCGAAATTGAAGGAGTTAAAGGTTCAGATGCACGAATTGTTGGACAAAGTATTTATTTGTCCTAGTGCATCACCTTGAGGAGCACCAGTTCTATTTGTAAGGAAGAAGGACGGGTCGTTGCGCCTTTGTATCGACTATCGGCAACTCAATCAGGTGACGGTTAAGAATAAGTATCCGTTGCCCATGATAGATGATTTGTTCGACCAACTTCAAAGAGCTTCGGTATTCTCGAAGATAGACTTGAGGACAGGTTATCACCAGTTAAGGATTAGAAAGGAAGATATACCGAAGACGACATTTAGAACGCGCTATGGACACTATGAGTTTACTGTGATGCCATTCGGTCTGACAAATGCACCTGTAGCTTTTATGGACTTGATGAACATGGTGTTCAAGAAGTATTTGGGCAAGTTCATGATCGTGTTCATTGATGACATTCTGGTGTATTCGAGGAATTCAGAGGAACACCAACAGCAATTGAGAATAGTGCTGCAAACCCTTCGAGATCATAAGTTGAATGTCAAGTTTAGTAAGTGCAAGTTTTGGTTAACGCAAGTGGCTTTTCTTGGACACGTGATTTCTAGGGAAGGAATTTTAGTAAACTCGACTAAGATTGAGGCGGTTATGAATTGGCCTAGACCAACGACGGTAACTGAAGTTCGGAGTTTCTTGGGATTGGCTAGTTATTATAGGAGATTCGTGGAAAAGTTTTTTGCTTTAGCCATACCCTTGACGCAATTACTAAAAAAGGACACGAAGTTTGAATAGACGGATAAGTGTGAGCGTAGTTTTCAAGAGCTTAAGTAGAAGCTAACTATTGTGCCTGTGTTAACGTTACCGTCTGGTTCAGGAGGTTATGAGATTTACAGTGACGCGTCATACAAAGGATTGGAATGTGTTTTAATGCAACATGGAAGAGTTGTGGCATATACGTTCCGACAATTAAGACCACACGAATTGAATTACTCGACGCACGACTTGGAATTGGCTGCTATCATATTCGCACTTAAGATTTGAAGACATTATCTATGCAGAGAAAAGTTTCATATCTATATGGATCATCAGAGTCTAAAGTATCTATTTTCGCAGAAAGAATTGAATATGAGACAGTGTAGATGGATGGAGCTGCTTGAGGATTATGATTGTGACATTTTGTATCATCCTGGTAAGGCTAATAAGGTAGCTGATGCGTTGAGTCGAAAGTCCTCGATTGAGCATATGATGGTTCAAGAATGGCTTTTGCTTGAAGGAATTCGGGACTCGGATTTCAGGTTCGAGGTAAGTCACCTCTCGAGTCTAATGGCTACTCACAGAATTGAGCATGAAATACAAAACGGGATTAAAGCAGCGCAACTTTCGGATCCTGAGCTGCAAAAGATTCTACAAATGGACACAACTAAGAGAAAACATGACTTTCAAGTATTCGAGGATGGGATCTTGAAGTTTTGTGGACGGTTGTGTGTGCCCAATGATGAAAGACTTAAGGAGGAAATTTAAGCGGGAAGCCCATCGTAGTAACTACAGTATTCATCCGGGTAGCATAAAGATGTATCAGAATCTTCGCCAATATTATTGATGGAATGGCATGAAAGGAGATATTGCCAAGCATGTAGCTAGATGTTTAACGTGTCAATAGGTGAAGGCCCAGCACTGTAAACCTGGCGGACTATTGCAACCACTGGAAATACCAGAATGAAAATGGGAACATATCACGATGGATTTCGTGATGAGTCTACCGAGGAGCCAAAGAGGTAATGATTCCATCTGGGTCGTGGTGGATAGACTCACAAAGTTGGCTCATTTCATTCCGGTACGAAAGGACTTTGCCATGGACAAGTATGCGGAGTTGCACGTAAGGCATATAGTTCGCTTTCATGGTGTGCTTGTAACAATCACGTCGGATCGAGACCCTAAGTTCACCGCCATGTTCTAGAAGAGTCTTCAAGGCGCCATGGGAACAAAGATGCAGTATAGCACAGCTTTTCATCCGCAAACAGATGGAAAATCCGAGAGAACGATTCAGACTCTCGAGGATATACTGCGAGCCCGCATTCTGGATTTCAAAGGGAGTTGGGAAGAATAGTTACATCTTGTTGGATTCGCGTGCAACAATAGTTATCAGCAGAGTATATCAAAATGGCACCTTTCGAAGCACTTTATGGCAGACCCTGTAGGACTCCTGTTTGTTGGAACGAAGTTGGAGAACGAAAGATTTCGGGACTCGAGTTGATGCAACAGTCATTGGATGTTGTTAAAGTTATCAGGGATAGGCTACGGACGGCCCAAAGTCTCTAGAAAGTTATGCAGATAGGCGACGTAAACCATTGGAGTTTCAAGTTGGAGATCATGTGTTCCTCAAGATATCACCAATGCGAGGGATGTCGCGCTTTGGCAAGAAAGGCAAGTTGAGCCCAAGATATGTAGGACCGTTCGACATCTTAGAGTGAATTGGAATGTTGGCGTATCACCTAGCTTTGCCGCCAAAGTTGGCTCAAGTACATGACGTATTCCATGTGTCAATGCTAAAGAAGTATGAACCGGATCCGACTCGCGTTCTGAATTACGAGGAGATGAACGTGGACGATAGAATGTCGTACGTGGAAAGACCAATAAGAATCGAGGATCGGAAGGAGCAGGTATTACAAAATAAGACGATTCCTCTGGTCAAAGTTGTGTGGCAATGTCATGGAAATGAGGGAGCCACGTGGGAAAACGAAGAGATAATGAGGCATCAATACCCCTCTCTTTTTGAGGATTTGGATGTAAATTCAAATTTCGAGGACAAAATTTCTGTAAGGGGGAAAAATTGTGATATCCTAAAAATTTGACTCAATTTGGTGATTTATGTAATAGTGGTTTCGTCAACGCTCTATTAGTTAATTCTCGCCCTGACTTGATCACTCATGGAATACTGACCAAAGGGAAAAGGCTATCGAAGAATTTACTTCCAACAGCCGCTAGTTAGTTCAAGATGAACTATAGTTGCGATTGATCGATTTTGGCCACGAATTATGATCCGATTTTGAGTGTTGAATGCTCAAGAATTTCACACCCAAACCATAGGACGTCGCCTCGTAATTTTTACGAATTGACCATCGAAAATTCCAATTTCGAAAAAGGATCGAAGAATCGGAAATTCAACGCAAGAAATGAAAGTGAACCGAGCAAAGCTCGTTGGGCCTCGTGTCCGAGGGGACTGACCACCAAGGCCCGATAAGAATGAGTTGGCCCATAATTTGGTGCTCGGGCCGAGGATAAAATGATAATTTGGGGGACAAATTTAAGAAAAATTTCAAAAGAAATTGTTGGAAGATTTTTTTGGGTAATGATTAAACCCTTCTCTCTCTCTCTTTTCCCTTTTTCCCCTGGCTGACCCCCCACTGAACCCACCTACTCCCCATCATTTCCTCCTCTCTTTCTTCTTCTTCTTTTCTTCTCCTTCTTCGTTGGTTTTGCTTCTTCACTGCTGCCGCTTCTGCTATTTCTGCTTCTGCTCCTCTGCTGCCGCCGCTTCTGCTTTGCTGCTGCTGCTTTTGCCCCTCGCTGCTTCATTGCTGCTGCTTCTTGTTCTGCTTCCTTCGGCTTCTTCATTTCCAGCCGCCGGACTGGTCCATTTCTCGTCGGAAACAGCCCCGCTGGTTGAGCCACTTGTCTGCTGCCATCCCAGCCACCAAGACGCCACTACCAACCACCATTTTGTCCCCGGTTCAGCCCTCAAGTAGTGCCGAACAGCCGCCCACAGCCGGCCGGTTTCTACTGGAATGCCAACTTCATCGCCCATCGTCCGTCCCCGCCATTGCAGCTGCTGGTCCGCTGCTGTCCAGCCACCTAGCCGACACCACCATACACCATTTCAAGCCCAAAACAGCCTCAAGCAGCCCTGACCAGCCACCACAGCAGC